ATTTAAGAATGAGGATGACCCTTTCTGGAAGAAAGTGGAACGATGGATGACTATGGCAAGAGATGGCTCAAACCATTAGGGTGTTAGTTTCGAAGGCTATTTCTCTTTGTTCAAAAGTTCAAATCATGTCCTCCCCCCTTCTCTCTCTCTCTCTCTCTCTCTCTATCTCCCTCCCTCTATCTCTCTCTCTGTCTCTCTATCTATCTATCTCTGTCTCTCTCTCTCCCTTTATCTGTCTCTCTCTGTCTATCTCCCTTTATCTGTCTCTTTCTCCCTCTGTCTCTCTATGTCCCCCTCTCTCTCTCTGTCATAAGTTGTCTGGGATCTGTCTCTCTCTCTCTCTCTCTGTCTCTCTATGTCCCCCTCTCTCTCTCTGTCATAAGTTGTCTGGGATCTGAATTCTCCACAAAACTGTCTCTTTTATATGAAAACAAATAACCAACCATGACACTAGCAAACAAGTCGTGCCACAAATGTAATTACACTGGTCATTTTCCCATCGATTTGTTAAAGTAATTCGGTCATAAATCTGACGTATCATGTGGTCGATTTAAACAAATCGAGAGCTGGCTGCTGAATTGCTGATAAACACAAGAACGAACTTGAAACAGAATCCGTGAAATTATCAATCAAAATCAAACTTCAAGGTTTCTCAGATTTCGCCACAAAACTTTGAATATTCAAGGTGTGTCCGATAGAAACTTTGGGCGATAAAACCAAATGTTTTACTAATATTCTCACTTCTGAAATGTTATGGAAGTCATTTTATTTGGCTTAAATATATTCAGACTCTGCTTTTCGAAAATAATACACAATTTCACTATGTTTTCATATCCATGAAGAGGTTGATATTTTGTATATTCCTATACATTTTTGTAAGTTGCTATTTCAATGAATATGTATATATATATCGCTTATTACTTCTATACCAACTTTCCGAAGGGCGTAACCCAGATATAGATAATGTAGTATACTCATCTCTACAAATTGCATTCCTGTAAAAACTCCAAATAATTAACTCGGGATGATTTAGAAACGTCAGAAAAAATGTTATGCTTTAAAAGTTTAAACATTTAATGAGGGGCAATCTACATTTAGTTCACTTTCGACAGAGATATATTGTCACCAGATTGAAGTCAACCTCCATTTATGGTAGTCTGATTAATAATAGCACATATTATCTTATCCCTAATCCTGGAGAGATGTTTATGATGAATGTACTATTATTAGGCAACAATACACAACAGTCCCCATCATAGCCTATTATACCTCTTACTTCTATTTAGCATTGTTAATGCCAAATTAAATGAGAAAGATAGAAATCAAGTCTCATTACTGTCACCTATTTTACACTTTACTATAATAATGTAATGATAACAGCTAGATTGATACTTGTGCCAAATTTATGTTTGATTTTTGCATGCCCGAAATGATTCTGCATATGAACAAATGTTAGCAGGTGAATAATATTTTCAATGATAATGCGTGGGTATGACAACAGATAATTACCGTATCATAACGATGAAGGCCATAATTACGCATTGTCATCAAATGTATTAATTAAGTTCATCTTCCTCTAAATTAAAAAATTGCCATCATGAACTTCTTTGCATTTCTGCCATAATCATGTAATTGTTGCTGCTTCTTTCATCGAAGTTTTATCATCGCCTGCTCTTCCGTTCTTCGTATAATCCTCTTTTCATTTCTTAAATGTAATACTGTTTGCACAGACGACTAGAAACAAACTGATGGTTAATGGATTTACGTCTTCTTTCCTGTATTGCTATGCTCTTAAAATTCTCTTGCATTTTGTATTCTATGATGCACTGTTCAAAGTACCTGCTTTGGTTTTGAATAAGGACATGGACCTGGTTATGATTATCGTCAATTTATCGTCAATGTTAATTCACGAATTGTTTTACTTTTCATTGAATTGATTCTGATTTTTTAAAATTATTAAATTGCTTTAAATTTGAAAGGAAAACTAGGAATGGGTAAATAGATACCCTTCCCATATTTTCCAGGATCCATATCCATTTCCAAATCATAAATGACTATCTTGTTTCTTTGTGATTTTTATTACATGACCATAACATTGGGTATATACAGTATGACAAAGAAATAAATAAATCAAATTACATGTACATCAATAGACCAGTTCACGGTTAGCACATGTCCAAAATGACTCCGGAAATCCACAGATCTTTAAAACATGAAGAGGTTCCACTTTGTACATTTTGAAATAATCACTCCTATACCGATGGAAGTGCTGCATAAATAGCCTTTGTTTCCCCCCTTTTCAAAGAATTCTTCTACTTGTGTATCATGGAGTGCACTGCTTGTGCATAAATGAATGATGATTACATAACTTTCTCTGTGTATTTCACAATTTGGTCTGAAATGACCTTCACCTGTTCATGCTCAGACTGCAACTATGTATTCAACTGAATGTAATATAGCACCCCACTGCCGCGACGTTTGCTTATCATGACTTTATATCAATGAATCTTGAAGAAAAACAAATCATGGGCGTCCATAGAAAATAAATCCATAGAAATTTAACCGTTAGTCACTAGTGACTGAATCTTATCGTACCTACATACCATGGGAAATCGGCACAATTCAGGGATTTAAACAGGCACAATAAGAGTGAATAAGGGTGCGTTCAGGTGTGGAAACGGGACAATCCATGTTTACAAAATGTGACCTTTGATACCTTTGGTGGGCAGATTCTGAGGATCCGACCAACTTATTGCACTGTGCTTCAGTGATCTGTCAATGGGCTACCTTGTATAATACCCGCAAAAAGTATTTATGGTGTTTAACCCGGCGAACACTATCCAGTACTAATCTAGATCCTAACTTCAGCTCTGGACTAAACACTACACTTAACCCTAAAGCTAACTTAAGACCTAACTTTAAACCCAGTTGCAACCTTAAGACCCGAATTACAACCCTGTCCTAACCCTATAACTTTGACGAAATAAAGCACCCGTAGAGCAATTGTAGCCGAATCAAATATTGGAACGCCATTTTCATATGAAACGATAATTATGCGACAGTGTGGATAGTTTATATTGTGTTTTTACTTCGCGTGGTGAATTTTGTCTTGAAACAATTTGAATGTTTGAATTGGTATTGGATAGCTGTTGTAATGAGATCAGGATAGTATTCACGGAACCATTATAAGTAGAAATTCGCCGACATCCCATTGAAACACGTTTATCAACATGAACACGTTTTAATGGGATGCCTGTGAACTTGTACTTATGAAGATTTAGTGAAACGATGCCCAAATATATACGCAATAGTTACAGTCTTGCAGACCCAAATTAAACAGATATCCCACGTTTTAAAGAATATTATGTGAATTCATGGATAGGACTTTTATAGAAATGACAGATAATATCGTATCCTGCGTATTAAAACCTATGTTAACATAATTAATACATAACACCTTTTCAAAGAAAAGAAAATATGACGAGATTGTGAAGGGTATTTATGAAAGAGGAAATTGGCTTTTTAATTCATTTAGACAGTCGCATAATTGCCCATAAAGTTGAAATTAACTTCTTTCTTACTTGTTTTCATGAAATGATTGTGACAATATGGTTTATTCTTGGTGAAACAAGTTATTGCCTCCACAGAACTATATTGATAAATCTAAAGAGTCATATAGAGACTGGTCAGAAAAGCTCTGAAAAATTATTAACTTTCATCTATCAAGAATATATTATTATATCACAACAATTTCATGAAAAGATGTGAGAAAAATTATTCAAACTTCGTGGGCAACAGTGTAGTTCTTTTAAGAAAAAAGAAATACGAATGAAACTTTTCAAAACAAACCATAATCCTTTTTTTTCTTTACTATATTATAAAATCCTTTCAAATGTTTTCGTTATACAGTAGGCTTACGGTCGCACCAAGAGAGGTGAGGAGGATTGGGGAGTCCTGAAAATGACTTTCGGTAATCTTTCTTTCTTGAGTGTGTGTGTAGTCCTGCAAAGGACTGTTGGTAATCTTTCTTGGGCTTTAGCGCCGGTTGGAGAGGATGGGGTGGGTAGTATGTCTTCGTTGTTTTTGTTCTGCACAACAATTAGGTGTGTAAGGAAACAGTTCATTAATGTATTTCTTTATCTTTTGTCAAACGTCCACTGAATACCATGCGATTTCCCCCTATGAGGGGTGTCATGATTATTATGTAGGAGCAAGTCGGTAAAGTCACTCCAGTAAAGCATAGAGAGTCAATGCTAATGCGTATTGTAAAGTATGTAGTATGCTGAAGGTGTACACGACTATAGCACATTGTGAGTACATTGTAAATACATTCATCGGTTCATGAAAAGAAAATAAACACCGAAGGTCCCCTTGGGGTATATGAAGACACATTATACTCGGGTATTCACGTGTGGTACCTTTGTCATTTTTAAGTATTTACATAAAAAAAAAACGTTTTGTGCGTTTGACCCCAACATTATTACTCTGATATCGGCATTTAGAGAGAAATTATACTATGGTAAACTAATCCGATGTAATATACTTCAAAAGGCCAAACGTAGGGTCGTCGCTTCTCATAGCCTAAATATTTAGCGAAGCGTTTTTCTGGTTTCTGGTATAGCGCAGACATTGCTTAAAATATGTACACTTATATCAATATGTCATTTTCTGTATAACATTCCCAGAAAGATTCTCCGGTATTGATCCAAACATTCCAAGATAAATAACATTGTCAAAATTACTTACTCTCTGTTTATACCGAATATCGTGACAATCAAGGTGGCATGTTGAATGTAGTGCGTAAGTTGGTTGTTCAAGTCAAATATCTTATTTATTCCTTACGGAAACTTGATATTCTTTAACTTCAGTGTCATTTTCTACCTTTAAAATATTCACCTGTATTCGTGTGCGTTGCCCTTGCAAGAGTAAGATTTAGGCGTAAGATTTTACAGTGTAACTTTTAACGAACATTTACAACGTCACTGATAATTATCACTTACCTTCTATCCCAGTATAACTCTCTGGACTATTGAAGCTGGTTGATTATCCAACACAATATTTTGAATTGTTCCACGTCGTATATGAGATTAGATTATCTTATCCGCTCCAATCCATGCACCATGATGACACAACACGCATGCTGGATTTCAGCTCAGCCACTAAATATCCGTCAACTTCTTCAAGAATTACTCAAGTTTCTTACAAAATGAGTGGACCTGTACACGATCACAATGTAATAAGAATGTGTCGAAAAGTACATTCCAGCGTGTATTGTAACACCGAAGTCTGGTTCTGCTAAAGTAGTGTCCCTCAACAAGTTTGGTGCAATTTGTAAATAGTAATACAACCGATTTCAATTCGTCTTTTGAAAACGAGGCAAAGGAGCACTATAGAATTAGGTTAATCCCAAAATAGAGCGTCACATTTTCGAAGGTACGAAACTGTTCCCTTTCCTGGACCAATCCGTAATCGAAACCGATGACAAAACGCAACTTGGAATGCCTTCCCTTCCCAGCCGACGATCAGCTGTTGGTTAAATCAAAGCATATAGCAGGCGCAACCTGTTCTGTGATTACGGAGAACTTCTTTTCACTACTCTTAAACTTTTTCCTTCAACGAAGCGAGACGGCTTGAATACAATTCACTGTTTGCATGCAGTGGATATGGACGCTTGCTATTATGCGTGTATAAGCCGAATACTAGTTGGTGGAGGGAACACAAATGGCAAAAGGAGAGAAAGAGAGAGAAAAAGGGGTTGTCGCCAAACAATGCCCAACCCACTCGCTTGTCAACCGAACACAATAGAAAAATGATTTGACGACACTTTATTTTATATTACGTTCTTGCATTATTATTGTCTTCCTGACTTCTCCGCCGTCCTTTTCCATGTATATATCTTTCCTCTGTCTCTCTCTCTCCCTCTCTCTCTCTTGCTCTCTCTATCTCGCTCTCCTTTTCCCTATTGTGCCATGTCCAGTCCCACTCTCTCTCTCACTTTCTCTCTCTCTCTCTCTCTCTCCCTCTCTCTCACTCTGTCTCTCTATACATATATATTTCTATCTCTGTGTGTCTGTCTGCCGATCTCTCTCTCTCTCCCTCCCTCTCATTCTCTATCCCACCCCCTCTCTCGTCTCTCTCTCTCTCTCTCTCTCTCTCTCCCTCTCCCTCTCTCTCTTTCTATCTATCTTTCTATATCTGTTTGGCTGCCTCTGCCTCTGCCTCTTCCTCTATCTGAATCTCTCTCTCTCTCTCTGTTTCTCTCTCTCTCTCTCTCTCTTTCTCTTTCTGTCTCTCTCACTCTATTCCTCCCTTTCATTGTCAGTGAGGTATTCTGTGGTATTCTAGATGTCAGCGAACAAAAGTTGGTTTGCTTGGCATGAGTTACGCAAATAGTGAATAAGTAGAAGCAGAAATTCTGGCATGAATATGTTAGCAAATTATTCATCGCGAAATGTATTGGGTGGAGACATTTAAAAAAATAAATATCTTTTCTCTCTCTCTCTCTCTCTCTCTCTCTTTCTTTCTATACCATCATGAAAATATTTGGTTTTTAATTAGTTCGCCCCGTCCTCTCTCCCTCTTTACTTCCTCTCACATTTATTATTCTCTTGAGGCCTTTGTAGCAGTAGTAAAAGTATTAGTAGTAAACGTAGAAGCAGTAGTATTAGTAGTAGTAGTAGAAGTAGTAGAAGTAGTAGAAGTAGTAGAAGTAGTAGTATAAGTAGTAGAACGATGAGGAGGAGAAAGAAGAGGAATATATGGTTAGTGTTGTTGTTTTTTGGTGTTGAAAGCATTATTTGAAATTTCCATATTGTATATCGGTAAAACTATATCGGTGGGGGTGACAGGAATAAATAGCAAGCATGGTAAGAATGCAGATACATTTATATAATCCCGAATCAATAATTGTAGGTGGCATGAACTAAATCATACATAGGAATAGAGACTAAGGAGGGTTACATAATGGGCTTTTATCTAAGGATGACCTTAAACTTCTAACGTTACACAGTGAAGTTTAAAAATAGATGATCAAACTCTGAAAAGTGAACAAATTATTCGGAGAGTCGACGTGTCATGTTTATCCAGTCACAGTGTCATCAGTGTTAACGAAAACACTAGACGTCAACGTGTCAGACAATGCATGCAATGGATGCATCTTTTCATTCTCTAATTGGGTGTGCGATTCAACAACATCACTTCGACACCTTCCCACAAAAGAGGCGCCTAACCCCCTCGATGCCAAAGACTCTCTTCCTCACTGTTTTTCCCTTTCCGGAGATTGTGTATGGGAAGAGAAGGGTTAATGAAAGAGCACAGACTCTTGGAATGAAAGGGAAGCGAAAGATGTTTAAAAGTTGTGACAATAGGTCTACAATTGAAGCAAGTCATATTAAATAGAGTTAAAGCTTGACATGCGGGGTTGGATTGTGTTAAATTTAATGCACCAAAAATGGATTAGATTGGCAGCGTTGCGAAATTGGCAGCTCTTTGACGAGGCATATTAAGGAACATTTCTGTTTTCAGTTGAAATCCACATTTATATTTGTGGAATCCTCTCTCAAAAAGAATGATTGAAATCACTACTTTGAAGTGAAAATAAACAAAGTGATTCCTACAAGGACTCCTAAAGAGGGTGTGTTTCCAATCCTCTACATTAGATGACTACGTTTGAAAGTTTCACATTACAAAAGAAAATTATTCTACCTTTATGACCAACAGTGTATTTAAAGGAATACACACAATTTCTTGTGGCTGTAGCGCCACGTGATGGCGCTCTTTAGTGTCATGAAACCATCGGGATTAGAACATAAAAGCCTCATATGAAAGGCAACCAATAACCAAATATATTTATCTATGCATGTTTAAACATGTGTCCATGTGTGGTTGTTGTTTTTCGGGGAGGAGGAAGAGGGTGTAATATACACATTATATTTAAAGAGGGATCCTCTGGACACCTATTAATGAAGTCATCGTGTAATGATATAGCTCGTGAAATTAAAATATATAATAGCAATAATATTGGTTCCTTGGCCAGATTTAGCAGTCTAGGTACGTACTCAAGTGTTCTTAACCGGCTATAGCGATGCTGCTAATACGGCGCTCTAACATTTCTATAATACTAAAAGTCTACAACTAATATTTTCTGTCAGGTTTAGTCTTGTAGTTACTGTAGTAGTATAGTAGCAGTATAGTGTTAGTGTTAGTTAGGTTGTTACCATTTGATTTTTTAAAAATAAATTTATTCGTTTTATTTAAACAGGGTAACTCTCTCAGTATTAAAACTGTTTTTCAGAGAGGCCCTGTACACACAAAATGATTACAAATACATGAAATAACAAACAGTGTTAAAAGACGTATACATGATTTTTATTTATATCAGGGTTATTTGTTTGTTTTGTTTATAGTTATTATATAACCCGATAATATTAAACAACCAAAAACATTTGACAAAGCAATAATTTTGTCCAGCCGATACAATATGAGTTTATGCTTATCCTATCAAATAGATCAATACTAATGTAAGCATATACACATCAGGAATACACTTTTACATACAAGGGAAAGGACAAATTTTCATGAGAGTGGAATACATTAATAGGAACCATTCTTATTAAACTTTGACACTTAGTACCAAAAAATAAAATAAAGGGTCGTTTTGGCTAGGGAAAACTTATCTGACAAGCACAACAAAGGTTCATGCTTCTTTTTCTTCTCTTTTCCTTCCCACTTTTCTTCTCCTCTAGCAATTCCAGTTTCTTTTTTTTACCGAGGGGCGCGTGTCCCATGTGCCCCTTGCAACCTGTAGTAACAGTAATACATCCCCACTCACGTGCTTGCGCCCACGCAAACTCTAAATAGTACTAAACCTACCCTTGGCACAGGCCTAGAGGTCGGAGTTTGCAGATGGCAAACCAGTTTAAATAACCCGTACACAACCACACACGAGCGCGCGCGCGCAACCACACACACACACACACACACACACACACACACACATACCATTGTATAACTTCATATTATCTCCTCATCCATCTTTTATTCGAAGGTTAGATGTAAAAAAAAAAAATCAGATTATCACACAGTCTCACACACACCCTTACCACTACGCCCCACATAAACACACATATCATATCATTTCATCTACCAAATTTCTTTCAGTTATAGTGCTCCGAATTCATTTCCTCAAAAGACTATTTCCTTTTTCTAAATGGTCTAGAAATAAAGTACACAATTATTTTTTTCCTGATTTTTTGTTTGTTTTTCTTTATTCAGTCACAAAGGATGGCGCTATGGGATGAGTGTGATAATACTACGACTATCCGAAATGATATCTCATATATCTGCATGATATAGAAATGTTTCTGTATTTAATTACACTTTATAATCAATCCACGAAAAAAGACTTCGGGAAAGTTGCATTCACATCTCTGGCAGTCGGGAGACAGCCATGTCAGTGATACGACCAAAATAAATGATACATCGGAGCAAACACAAGGAGGGCGAAATTATATATTCAGTATTTTGATATGACCTCAATTTATATGAATAAAATGCTTGCATGAGATATTCTTGCCATTTCAAAATTTAGAGCCGGTATACATGTATTAATTTTTTGGTGCATTACTCATCATTGAAGTTCTTCAAATGCTTGAAAGTCAAATTAAAATCCAAATAATTGACTGAAATCCATCCTGGCATGATAGAATAACATTAATAGCAATGCACACACACCAAATAAAAAAGAACTGTAAACATGCTAGATAAAGAAGAAAAAACTCAAGAGAACAAATGGGAATCGCAATTAGACTATGTACATATGGTCGCATTACGTTCAATAAAAAATGAGTGATATCGCAATTATCACTATCAATACAAAACACAGTCATGAACATAGGAGTATGTAAAATATATAAAGAGAAACAAATACCTCAACAACATAAAGGCAAACTAAATCACCAAAAATGAAAGTAATGATGCTACCTGAATCGGAGCTGATATAAAGTTTCGTGAACCATAAAACTAATATTGAAAATAAAAGTAACTGTCCTTTTGTAGCGAGATTCAACATCATTTCCACAATATTCCGTGTTTGGATCCAGCATATCAGAGTAATGCTCTCAAGACGTTCGCAATACGTTTCGCACGCATTCAAACGCATTTATGGGAGGTCCCAAGAACATTTGAGTTCCTTCTTGTTCCCATTCTGTTTTGCTGAACGCCGTTGATTCTTTTTAAAATTTCGATTAGGCAAACGTAAGAACAAAATATGTGTCTCAATCACCTTATTGGAATCCTAAACCCGACTCTGACATGAGTGATAAAGTAGATGAACGGAGCCTTTTCTAAATATTATATGTAATCAGAAACCCTCTTCCAAATCGACTTTTTAACAGTAAGTTCAAACTTGGGATGGCGGTCAATTCAAAAACTTCCTTAGATCGCAGCCTTGTATAATCTTTATTTGCAACATTTGCAATATCTATTAATTTATTAAAAAAAAAACAATTATTATTAAATGGTCATTGCGGCACCACAACTTACACGCAACCACAACTTAATATAATACAAGCATTACTGTAAATCGTCTTAATATGTA